GATACTCACGGCCCCAGCGCGTCCAGAATTGGGCGCAAACGGCCTTGACGAGCTCCTGGTGCGTGAGCGGCTCCAAATTCTCTGCAGCGAGGGTAACTTAGACGATGGAATCGACGGGAGCCCCGATGAGGAAATGTCCAGGCGTGAGCACTTTGAGGTCAGAGGGATCGCCAGACAAGGGTGTCAACGGGCGGCTATTCAACACGGCCTTAATTCCAACGAGAACCGTAGAGAACTCTTTATACGTTAGATGACGAGAACCGAGCACACGGCATGGATGGCTCTTGGTCAACTTGACCGCGGCCTCCCAGAGTCCTCCAAAATGTGGCGCACCAGGAGGAATGAACTGCCAGAAAACCCCCTGGGAGGCAAGAGTCCCGGCGACTAGGTCCCAGTTAAATTCTGCGCCCTGCAACGCCTCGCGGAGCTCCAAATCAGCTCGACGGAAGCAGGTGGCGTTGACGCTCCAAAGCTCGGATGGTCGGCCTCGACGACCGGTGAAACGGGTGAGAGCACCCAAGAAGTTGGCCGCGGAAAGGTCGCCGACAAGCTCCAGATGCACGGCTTTGGTGGTCATGCACACGAAGACAGCGATGTAGCCCTTTGTGGTCCGGATCCCCCGTCCCTTCGATGTAAGCACGGAGAAGGGCCCGGCGTAATCGACTCCGGTGCGACCAAAAGCGCGAGACGGCGTGACGCGAGACGCGGGCAGCGGAGCCATCAACTGGCTTGAAGAGCGCGCCTGTAACCGAGCACAGATAACGCACCCTCTAATGAGAGCCTTGATTCGGCGTGGCCCGCTGAGAATCCAGGCACGCCTGGAGACGTATGCGCTGGTAACGCAATATCCACCGTGGAGGGCGCGTGCGTGAGCCCAAAAGACCACGAGTCGAGCGAGCGGCGATGTTTCGCTGAGGATGGGAGGGTGCTTCTCTCCGTAAGACAGCGATGAGTGATCGAGCCGCCCGCCAACACGCAGAACACCGTCGGCATCGAAAAAGACGGCAAGAGAGGTCAAAGGGCTCCGTTTCGGAAGACGTTCACGCTTCCGCAGGAGTGCCAACTCATCCCTAAACGTCATCGATTGACTTAACCGGTTAGCATTGACTTAGCAAGGAAAGCGTCCTGAACCTCAGACGGCCTCAACGGCGAAAGCACAGAACGGGTGGGCATGCGCTGCAAGCGGTGTCGCACCCATCGGCGAACGCGCACGAGGAGGCCCAGTACGGCGCGCAAGCACGAGAAGAGCTGCAGCAGGTCCGATTCCGGCGCGCGGAAGGCGCAGCAGAGTGAGAGCGTGGGCGTGGGCGGAGGCAGTGTCTCCTGGGGCCAAGACTTGTCATCCTGGGCCAGCCACGTGGGGCCTCTCCACCACAGGGGCTGCTGTCGGAGGCCACTCATGTCGGCACTTCTGGTGGCTAAGTCGGCCGGATTCGATTGCGACGGCAGGTATCGCCAGGCACTGAATGGCAAGACCTCCTGGATCTGAGCGACGTAGTTGTCGACGAGCACGTTGTTGGCCGGCTGATCGGAGCGTATCCAGTGGAGCACAATTTGAGAGTCGCACCGAGCGTGGCAGTGCTCGATCGCGACTCCCAACTCGCTGGCTGCTGAGCGAAGAAGCTTGGCGGCGATGAGGGCCCCTCGCAATTCTAGACGTGGGATGGTCATGCGACTGGCTGGCTCGGTCATCGGCTTGTGCGCGCGGATGGGCGCAAGCTTAGTACGAGCGAGAAGTATGTGGCAGAGAGCGGGCCCATCTGAAGACCGCAGCCACGAATATACAACAGCGGCCATAGCACGGCGACTGGCGTCAGAAAACACGTGCAGCTGGACATTCGACGACGGAGACATACCAATCCAACGAGGCAGAGAAAACTCGGAAATGGCCTGCAGCTCGGCGGTGAAGGCGGTCCAGCGGCGAGTCATGGAGAATGGTACGTTCTCGTCCCAGTCCAAGCGCGCGCGCCACAGGTCTTGCAGTAAAAGCTTGGCGTTCAACACGATCGGGGCAAGCCAGCCGCACGGATCGAACAAGCCTGCGAGAGCGGCGAGCATGGATCTCTTCGTGGTTTGAGATTCGACAACGGGCGGCGTCGAACGGAAGAAATCCGAGGGCGGGTCCCAGCCTACGCCCAGTTCGCTGACGAGGCCTCCAACACTGAGCTGATCCCAAGTAGGACGGAGGCGGACGTCTTCGGGAAGGTCTTCGAGAAGCTCGGGCGTGCTGTCAACCCACTTTCGCAGAGGAAAACCGCCCGCTTGAAGAAGTCCGATCAGCTGGTCGCGCAGACGCTTGGCCGAGCCGATGTCATCAGCGCCGGAGAGGACGTCATCAGCGTAGCGATCGTTCATCACCACCGGGACGGCCTCGGGCCAGCGGCGGCCGTCATCCTCGCACAGCTGCTGTACAACCCGTAGTGACAGGTACGGGGAGCACGAGGCACCGTAGGTAACGGTGAGAAGTTGGTAGTACGTAGGTGGCTGCTTTGGGTTGGAGCTCCACAGAATGCGCTGCAGGTCGACATCGCGTTCATCAATCAGGATCTGGTGGAACATCATGCGAACGTCAGTACAGAACGCAATCCGGTGACGACGCCAACGCAGGAGCTCACTGGGGAGAGCTGTCTGGAGCCGAGGACCAGCATGGAGCACGTCGTTTAAGCTATAGCCACTGAAAGTCGGGCTCGACGCGTTGAAAACAACGCGCAGTTTGCGACCTTGGTCACCGTGCTGCCAAATGCCGTGATGTTGGATATAGTGCACTAAACGGTGCGATGCAGCGAGTTGGTCATCAGTAAGGGGCTTCATATGACCGAGGGCAATGTACTCTGCCATGAACCGGGCGTACTCAGAAGCCGTCTGGGAAGTCCGCTGCAGCCGACGATGCAACGAGCGCAAGCCAGCAGTAGCGCCCTGCAGACTGTCACCAAGGAGGCGCACAGCGTCATGCTTCAGCGGAAGTCGCACAATGTAACGCCCGTCGTCAGCGCGATGATAATCGGCGAAGATTCGCTCGCATTCCACATCCTTAGGCGCTCGGCGGCTGACATGTGGCACCTTCTCGATCTCCCAGAATCGCTGGAGCTGCGCAGCCAGCTCTTGATCCCAGGGCGACTGGGTATTCGTGAGCAGAGTTGGGCCTGCGATGAGGGCGTTCGAGCCCAGGCCAGGGGCACGGCCGACGAGAGTCCAGCCAAGAGCCGTGCGCTGTCCGACAAGCTCGTCACGCTGAACGTAACCTGGTTTGATGAGGCGGTGGTAAACGTCGACTCCGAGCAGAATGTCTACACGGAGAGGTGTGCCAAACGCTGGATCGGCCAGAGGCTCAAAATCGAGCCACTGTCTCATCACGGCTGGGTGAAAGGGGGCAGACGGAGAGGTGAGCCCGAGCCGCGGCAGGCAGAGCGCTGTCAGATGGATTGGCGGTGCATGCTCTCCAGTTTTAAGGTGTTGATGCGCTCGGGTTCTTGAAGGGATGGTCAACCCTCCCCCAACCCCATGAATGCTCGCCTCGTTGACTTCTAGCGCTGCGCCGAGCTCCTAGGCCAACCGGATGGAGATGAGTGTAACCTCAGAGCACGCATCAAGGAGAGCTCGACCAGCGACTCGTCGGCCGATGGGACCGGTTAGCTGGACAAGAGCGGTCGGAAGTACGGCGAGTCAGGACGATGGAGCCCCTGATGCTGTGAGTCGGTGGCGGACGGGCCCGCGCTGTCGACTTTTGGCTTCTTGGGCGAAGAGGGACGCTGATCCGATTCAGGCTTGCGCCGATGGTTGCTCTCGTGCAGCAGACTGTGGTGGGGCTCCCTGCACTGCTGGCAGACGGACCGTGAAGGGCAGAACTTTACTGCGTGGCCTGGTCTCAGGCAGTTAAAGCATAGCTGCCCTTGATAGACCATGCGTCGCCGGGCCTGCGCGTCAAGGCCTTGAAATTGCGCGCAGTGACCCAGGTAGTGCGACTCTCTGCACGACGGGCATGGTGGCAGCGAGCCACTGGTGGCAAGGGCTCTAAAGTTTCGTCCAGGAAACGGGAGGGCCGGAGAGCGCATGCTGGCCGTGTTGGCTGAACGAGCAGGGCGAGAGGCCTCGACGGAGCTGAGCGCGCGGCACTGTCAGCGAAGGAAAGTCGTCAAGGCAGCAAAAGTGGCAACTTCCGCCGTGGCGTCCGTGCCAGCGGTCTCCAGTCGCTCGATCTCGTCCTCCCACGCGCGCCGGGTCGTCGGATCCATGCCAGTCATCACGCAGGAGACAATCCAGTCGTCCCACTGAGACACAGGGCGACCCAGAGCTTCCAGCTGATCACGATGTTTTCCCAGGGTGTCGAGGAGACCCTGAAGCCCTCGAGCTGACTCTTCCTTCAGAGACTTGATGTTACAGAGCGCCGTGATATGATCATGGATGAGAAGACGGCGGTGCTCGAAACGCGCTCCGAGTAAGGCCCAAGCCGTTGGATAATTGGTACCGATGGTCTGAACGGTGTCAAGAGCGGCCTTGGCGTCTCCGTCCACCAAGGATTTTAAATAAAACAGCCTCTCCACGTCGGTGAGCTGTTTATCGTCGTGGACGAGCGCGCGGAAGAGGTCCCGGAAACTTTCCCAATCCTCTCGCTTCCCCGAGGAGGAAGGGATGCTGATCTTGGGCAAGCGGGCTCCGTGTCTCGAGTTATGACGGTCCAGGTCGGCGCCGCCCGGGCCAGGGAGAGGCGTGAGGGTGTTTCTTGCGTTGTAGAGGCGTGATCAAGAGGCGATATAGTCCGACTCTGCCGTCGAGTACATCTGGTCAAGAAACTCCAGCTTCTCGGGCAGCGGTGACTCCAGGAGACTCACGTGATTGGCCTGGAACGTGTTCCAGTAGCCGTCTAGCAGCTCGAGCCTTACTTCCACGAGACCTAGGCTCCAGTTCGGGAGGTCAATCTTCTCGACGTCCCGTGCGAACCGGCTGATGACGCCGGCGAGGGCACTCTGGGAGCCGAGCAGGCTCGTCCAGTCGTCGTTTGACCTGAAAAAGCGATCACTAGCTTAACGTTTGCACGAAGCATGTCTTGCCTCTGGGCCATGAGCGGCGGGGCCATGTCATCGCCAGACGCCACACAGCTGTCAACGCGCGGCGCATCGGCAGCAGACAAAACAGATAGAAGGGCAGTGAAAGAGAAAGAGTGTGAGAGAGGTACCACGAAAGGGCGAGGATGCCAGAAGGGACGTGCGTAGACCACGTGCGTGCCAACGCGCACGCAAGCTACACAAGCTTCGAAGCCTGTCCCTCGGCGTCGACCCCCCGCGCCAGCGAAGCGCAACAGCTCCGCCGCGCGAGGCGGACGCGCGCGACACGAGGCCCACATGGCGGCCGCGGCCGATGAGGACACCGCGAGCGTTTGATCGCGGCCAACAATGGCGGCCGCGAAAGCCTCGCTTTCCGACGTTCGAATGGCGTCGAACAAAGCGTCGCATCGACAGCCGTACGGCCTTATCTCTGCCGTGGCTGACCACAGCTGCTGGACCGCGGGCTCTGTGGCGACCGCAGCAGCCACCATGTGCACGCTGTTGATAACGCGAGTGCTTGCAAGGCAAGCGTTAATGGCAGCACGTCTTCGTCGCGGCCAACACCTGTGTCAAATCGTGGGAACTGTGTCGACCACGACGACCTCCATTAAACAACATTTCTTTAAACTGTACTTACATTACGCTGTGTAAGTCGAATCGCAGACTGTGACCACCCTAGCTGCGGCGTTGGCTGCTCTTCTCCTCGGGATCCGGCTCTAAGGACCAAATGTTTGTTTTTACTGCTTTATTAGTTTGTATGGGCTTACAAATGCTGGAAAACATTTTACGCAAAGAAAAGGCACAAGGGATAGTCGCTTCGGCGTGTAGTCGTCGTCTTCTTCTTCTCGTTCTCTGGTGTGGCGTGCGACTGTCCTCACTAAGCCCTTGTACACGAGTGAGCCCCACCGGCCGAGCGCGGTGACGCACAAGGTGGGGAGCCGGGAGAGAGCGCAGCGACCGACGTTGCATGGCAGGGCGCGGAACCCCGCTCGGTCGGTGAGAAAACCCGAACAATAGTATACGCATAACATAAGCCAAGAAAATATTATTTTTCTAACATGTCTACTTATACCAAGATCACAAGCCTTGAAATGTTTATCGAAAATCACGTGCGTGACAATAAAACGTTTATTAAATTATTAGTATGACGCATGTATACATATTCTACAGAAACCACTTTTATCTAGAACTCCTTTGGTTTCATTCGCTTAGCTCACGCATTGTTTTCATCTGTTTATTCAGTAGCAGTTGAGTATAATGAGTTTCTTTCAAGACTTTAAAACTATTTATTTACGTAAAAGAATTCCTAATAAATAAAATTGTTGAATATAGATCCCATGTCCGTTTGACCAATGTTATAGTCGATTTGATTAAGTAATTTCATTCGTCAAACTAACCATGACTATAATTAACTCATACCTTTAATTTTTTATTTTTCAAACAAGTGTACACGCTGTTTTTATGTCTCTGCATGTCTACATAATGTATTCTCTGCCATGTACTTTCTAGCAATGTCACATGCTTTGACACTGTAACTATACATTTGAAGTATGCTGATTTACTTAAACGGATAGAATATCTTTCTCATAAATGTTTTTGATTACTTTTATTCAGAAGCGTCATTAAAAAAGCTAGTCTAATCCACGTATACGCAGAAGTGATGCCAGCCCGTGAGACCAAAGTGGAAAAAGCAGGAAATTTTCCGATGATTCGGACCAATTCTCGTCCGGTTGACAATCGCTGTGACGAATATCCGGCCACTGCTTTCACCGATTGTCCCCCCTTTTCCCTCTCCCTGCCTTCTATTTTCTAGCTTTTTTCGATCTCTGATTCTCGTCCCCCGGAGGTGCTCAATTTCTGCACAGATACGCTGACCTGGAAAACTGCCCTTGAAAAAAGTTGCAGCATATGTATGCAGTGAATCAGTGTTGACTAGTATACTCATATGTACCTGTGTATGCATCGCGGCCACGGTATCAAAATGTATACATAATACAGAGTATGTAGACACTGGACTTTGACACTCAGTGTATTTGTTTACTTGGGCAGACCAAATTCAACACCTAACCTATAATTCGACTAGCACCTCTGTGAAATCACTTTCACAAATGCTTGTATTTTAATCTTATTTTTTCTTATGCATATGGCATTAATCATGCATAATAAGCTATTAGTTTAGAGCCTTTGAAAACTGTTAAGAGATCCTCAAAACGGTTGTAAAATTTGTGTGATTTTATGATATCATAACGATTAAGTCAATGTTAAACAGGGTAGGTTAACATTATTGTACGCCGATCTTTCGACACATCGCAGATTGTAATAAGGTCCTTTACACGCCATCGCACTCGAGTTTGGTCGGCATTTAATCTGCAAAAAATGGAGGGGTTGAAATTTTCATTCACGTTTTAAAAGGTACGAAATCGTCCGCAAAAGTAATATAAACGTCGAGAAATGTGTGTAAAAAATTTGAAACCTGTTACCACGTCGATATTGAAATATCCTCGTCAAAAAATCACTCTTTTAACATTGGAGCAATGGTGCAAACACTACATAGCCCCATTATTTTAAAAAGTGTAACTTACCGTATATCTATAAATAATTATAAAACTACTGAAAACTACCTTAGACAGCAAAAAAACACATACATTTTTTTTGAGAATTTTTTACCACAATTTTAAAGTAATAGTAAACAAAAAAGTGCTCTTCGTTTGATTTTGGAAGATAACCAAGTAAGTATCGCGTATGTGGCAACATCGCATTGTCACATGA